GCAGCTGGTCACACCCCCATCAGGGTGGGGGTGCCCACTGGGGTGCCTGGACAGTCTGGGTGAGGGGCTGAGGGCCGTTTTCAGGCTAGCGGGCAACCGAAGCTCCCAGCCTCTTATTTTTTCTTTTTCTTTTTATTCTGGGATTTATTTACCTTCTATAGCTGTCACTGATTCTGAGGCCTGGCTCCAGCTCTGAGGCCGTGGCTGCTGAAAGCAGGTATCTGGGGTTTGTTTGGCTTCTATAATTGAAACATTGTTGCTGTCCTGCTCACTCCAGCTCTGAGGCCGCGGCTGGCTGAAAGCAGGTATCTGGGGTTTGTTTAGCTTCTATAATTAAAACATTGTTGCTTTTGGAGCTGTTGCTTCAGGAGCTCAGAGCCGGGCTGCGGCAGGCAGAGAACCTTGGCTTCCTCCATCACTGGAGCAAACAAGCCTCATGTTTGCTTCAGTTGTGTGGCTGCCGGCCGCCATCTTGGTTGGCAGTTAATTTGCATATCTCCCTGATTAGCCAATGGGAAGCATAGGAGAGGTATGGTTAATTACCCTATTTGTCTATTATTAGATAGGATGCCATATCCTCAAAGTACAAAAGTCCAGGTATTTTCCTTTTCCCAATGCATAGTAACTCTGGTAAAGTGCCTAAAGGTCCATTTGGAAAAAATATATATTGAGAGAATATTTCTCCTGTATACTTGTGGTATTGTTGCCATCCTTTCTCAAGAGCTCTGGATCTGAGAACTGACTTATGTCTGGAAGAAAGGCGAGGGATCATGATTTTCCGTTGCAGTATGTGATCTCATCCCTTTGCCCACCAGCTCTCTATGTTTAGAAATCAAGTAATAGTGAGTTAACTGTCAATATTTCCCTTTGACTTATGTTATTTGTTAGCCATTCTCTGATTTGCTGCTTACAAAATAAAGTATGCTCATCCTTTCTCTGACATTTAAGTGCTGACATTTGTCTTCTGCCATTCATTCTGCCAAGGAATGGCAGGAGGCAAAGAATTGAAGCACCAATTCTATTGTTTCAACTATTGTTAACCATGTCCTGCAGAAGACATCTATCATTGAGTTTATCACTGTTGTCTTGGTGAAGGGAAATGTTCTGCAGGTCTTCCCAGAGGTCATGTGGTTGGTTCTTCATTCCCATATAATTAATATAGTTAAATATAATTTTTTACCATCTGCACCTCATTTACTGTAGGTTTTTGGCCTCGTCAAACTTCAAAACCCATTTCAGGCATGTAATAATACCAATTCCAAGTCTCGTTGACCACATGTTGAACCTTGGCTCATCATGGATAAGACCATCAGGTCAAGAAATTCTTCATAATCTGGCCTCATGTTGCAATCTTCTCAAGATCCATTCTCTTGTATGTTCTACTAGTGTTCTCTGATATTGGTTAGGTCTTGTAAGTCCCTCAGTTGATAAGTTGTAGAATCCTCTAGCTGTGTTAAGATCTGACCTCGGTAATTACCTTGGAAGTAATAAAAGGTGGTAGAGACTAACCCTGAAACAATGACAAGCTTTATCTTGTGATGTGTCTGCAACCTGTGAAGGTGCTGGGAGGCTATCATCTTCCAGCAAGGTGGACGCAGCTGCTTCTGTCAGGCCAGAGTGTTCATGAGAATATGGGGGTTTAGCCTCTTCAAATTTGTCTGCCCAAGTGTTAGCACTTCAAATCTCAGGGTCCTGACATTTTTCTATTTATTCTTATTTGCTCAATTCTAGTTGTATCTCTCCAAATTAGATATATCATGTTGATTTTGTATTCAATTCTGAATAATTCAAGTTGAATTTTTAATTTTAAGAATTATAGGTATTTTTCCATTTTTCTGTTCAGTTTCTTTTGGTGATTGGCTTGTTCATGTTTGTGAGTCCATCACTTATTAATTTTAACATTTCAGTTATGAAGTCATACGGATATAAGTCTGCTGGTTCTTTTCCATGGTTATTTGTTTCCTTTCATGTTTTTTGCTCTTTTTTAAATGCCATATCCCCATATTTATGACTTTATCCATTAGGTAAAGAACTCAATTTTCAATGGAATGTTACTCAGCAATTAGTAATAAACATTAATATTTGTTAAATGACTATCCAGTGCTAATCCCTGGACTTCTACACACACTATATAATCTTTACAATGATCTCATCAAGCAGAGGAGAACCCAACTATTATATTTTAGCATCTACTATTTGCCAGATGCTTTACATAAATCAGCTTCTAGAATATAACAAAAATATTATTATACCTATTTTGCAAATAAGGAAACTGAGACCTGAAAAACCCATTCAGCTAATAAATAATGGAGAAGGGGATTCTAAATATAGCATGTATCTCCAGAATCTGTATTACCTACTGAGGTGAATGGCATTTTGGAGATAGTTTAAAGGATAAATTGATATCAATTATAGTTTTCAAATTTCTCTTTCTTTGTTACAGCAACAAAAATAATTACTCAGAAGGTTGTAGCTTAATTTAGTATTAAAGGCTTCAAAATAACTATAGCACAGATATGTCCTTTTGTTGTTTATTGAGTGTGGTGGATTAGACACTCAATCTTTGATACTCTTATTGAGTTGAAGAAAAGACATAAGAGCCATCAAAGTTGGAATGGAAGAAGTAAAATTACCTTTATTCATAGATGACAGGATCTTATATGCAGAAAATCCTAGAGAATTCCCCAAACTGAGAGCTAATAAGTGAATTCAGCAAAGCTTCAGGATATAGAATCAATAAATAAAAATCAGCTGACCTGCCCTAACCGGTTTGGCTCAGTGGATAGAGCATCAGCCTGCGGACTCAAGGGTGCCAGGTTCGATTCGGGTCAGGGGTATGTACCTTGGTTGCGGGCACATCCCCAGTGGGGAGTGTGCAGGAGGCAGCTGATCGATGTTTCTCTCTCATCGATGTTTCTAACTCTCTATTCCTCTCCCTTCCTCTCTGTAAAAAATCAATAAAATATGCTAAAAAAAATCAGCTGACCAGTGTGATTCACTGTTTGAGCATTGACCCATGAACCAGGAAGTCACAGGGCAAATGCTGAATTTTGGGATCCCAGTGTGTGTGTGCAGGAGGCAGCTGATCAATGATTCTCTCTGATCACTGATGTTTCTACCTCGTTATCCTTCTCCCTTTCTCTCTGAAATCAATTTAAAAAACATATTAAAGGAAACCTTTAAAATATATATTAAAAATCAGTTGTATTTCTATATACTAGGAATAAATAATCCAAAAATAAAATTAAGAAAAAATTAATGTATGAAGGCATTAAAAAAGGAAAAAAAATACTTAAGATTAAATTTAACAGAAGAAAAGGTAAAAAAAATAAATTTAATGAAAACTTGTACAATGAAAATGGTAAGACATTTCTGAGAGAAATTAGAAATCTTAGTAAATGAAAAGTCATTCCATATTCACAATTTGAAAAGCTTAATGTTGCTAAGATGGCAATTCTACCCAAAGCTGTCAACATATTCTATGCAATTCCTATGAATATCTTAATGGCATTTTTTCCCCAGATATAAGCAAGCTAATTAAAAATATTTGTATATATCTCTGGCCGGTGTGGCTCAGTTGATGGGAGCATCATCCCATACACCAAAAGGTTGAGGGTTCGATTCCTTATCAGGGCACATACCCAGGTTTCAGGGAGATTGGAGCACATATGGGAAGCAACCAATTGATGTTTTTTTCTCTCCCTCTCCCTCTTAACCCTCTCCCCTTTGTCTAAAAATTAGTGAAAATATCCTCAGGTGAGGATTTTAAAAATTCATATACAATTGCAAGTAACCCCAAATAGCTGCACCAATCTTGAAAAAGAAAAGTTGATGGACTCATACTTCCTGATTTCAAAATTGTCTACAAGCTGTGAAAAACAATTTTTTATGTTAAAGAAATTAAACATAAAATTATCATTATGATTCAGAAATTTCACTTACCTTGATGGGATCCCTTTTTCCTTTTTAGTATTATATACCCAATTGAGCAATACTTTTCTAACAAAGGTAAGAATTGTTTTGCTTTCAGAATAATTCTTTATTGTTTCAAGACTCATATACCTAAAAAAAGAGAAATCTTTAAATATGCTTTTAAATTTTGGGATAAGTAGAATGCAGTATTGGCAGAAAGCAAAAATACTATTTTGCCCAGTGATGACTGGAAATGAGACATTTTCATGGGCATAGTTTCAAGTTTCAAAGTTATAGATAGAATAGACATATAATTATGAATTTTAATATGTGGGGCTCACTTATTAAACAGCGAGTATAAAAATCTGGAGATACATGGTTTAAAATGGTAGAGAGGTCAAGGTTCAGGAATAGAAAGCATACCTTAGTTCAAATATTTGGGATTCAACTACATATGGGTTTTCATGTTGTGAACCCCATTATCTGGTTTGGCAATGAACAAATTACCTCATTAACCTGTTTGCTCTGTAAAATGGAGGTAAAAATACCTATGTTCGCCTGGGATAATTAAATGAGAAAGTATTATGAAACATCCAGCCGATCTTACAGATCCTCTCATCTCCTTTCTTTCACCTTTTGGGCAAGTAGCCAAGGAATTTATGGGGAAAATACAAGTGGTAGATTAAGAGTTAAAATGGTTTCTTGGAGAATTCAGTGGTAATAAAACCCCAAAAGATACTTTGGTGGCACTTGTCTGTAGTTTTCTTCTGACTTTTCTATTGAGACAGCTTAGATCTGTGTGCTATGATTTGGTCTTGTTTGGTTTTATGAGGAACTTACCTGTTGCTGTCCAGATACTTTCATTGTCTTCCATAGAAGGAGGATAGAGTTTTGTCCTTGGGTCTGAGGTCCTACATTAAAAAATGGCTTAATGGAAGGTCATTGGTGACTTAAGTTCAAAGGCGGACCTTGTCCTTCTTATCTATATATATAAAAGCCTAGGCGATTGGTCAACGACTTGACCAGCCAGCCGGTTGGCTGGTAGCTGTGATGCGCACTGACTGCTAGGGGGAAGATGCTCAATGTAGGAGCTGCCCCCTGGTGGTCAGTGCACTCCAACAGCGGAGCACCGTTCAGCCAGAAGCTGGGCTCATGGCTGGTGAGCGAAGCTGCGGTGGCCTGAGCCTCTCCTGCCTCCACGGCAGTGCTACCAGGCAGCAGTAGCAGGTGCAGTGGGGCCAGAATGAGCGATGAGCAGAAGAAGCACGGTGCCCGGCCCCTGCTCAGGCTCCTCCCTGGCCGTCTGCCGCTTTGCGCACTACTACATCCTTCGGGGGATGTCAGCCTGGCCTGTGGGGATCGGGCGAAACCAGCAGTTCAACATCCCCTGAGGGGTCCCGGATTGCAAGAGGATGCAGGCCAGACTGAGGGACCCCACAAGTGCATGAATCCATGCACCAGGCCTCTAGTTGATTATACTGTTCACACTCTGAAAATTGGGCAATTTATCTGCTATAGGAAAACTGATGTAATTGAGAAAAAAATAAAATCATTCAATTCTCTATGATTCAATATAATAACATGGGAATTACATTTAAAAAATCACTAATGTGTATATGACTTGATTCATTCCTAATTTTTAAATTATTTATTGGACACTTATTATGGTTGCTAAATGCTGGGGATAAACCATAAGCCACACACAAATACTGGTTTCTGTCCTCAAGGATTTAGCAGAGAAGTGAAGTAAAACATGCAAAAACAATTGCAGTAAAGTGTAGTAAATGTTGATATGGAGATAATCTATAAGAGGACAAGCCAAACCCACAAAGGGGGCACATTTATTTTCTTTTGTGGGGAGGCACATTGAATAGAGTCATGGGGAATCAGGAAACCTTCCTGATGGAATTAATATCTAAGGTATGATAATTTTAAAAGTTCTAATGAATCCTAAAATTCTGTAATATCAATAAGTACATGACATTTTACAGCTCAAATTAAGTAATTCAGGCTCCTGCAGTCCTATTTTTATATCAACTGTTCACTGTTTGACCCATATTAGGAAAAGAGTATGATCTTTTTAACTGGATAGTAAGACAACTTAGCTTCAAATCTAAGCTCTGTAATTTCTTAGACAAATAACATTGGGTAATTTATTTAATCTCGCTGGGGCTCACTTTCCTCATCTGCAAAATGAAGATAATAACAATGGCATTCACCTCATAGGATTTTAGACATAAAATTGGTAATACATGTTAAATGTTTAAGACTGTATCTGAAACAAAACTTAATAAAAGCTCTTTATTCAATATATTATTTCTTAGGTAATTACATAGGCACTTAGCACAGGTCTTGGTACTCCTTTTTAAACCTGATACTCTTTCTCTCCTTAGATCTTTTTTTCTTGCCATGAGACACCCCAACACATGGGGTTACTGGTAAGAATCATCAGCAAATGGCAAAATCAACTCCAAGACAGCCCAGCAAATGAGCAAGTACTCATTACAAGTGTAATTAATAGAAAGTCTCTGGAGATTGGAACACCATTTCACTAATCTTGAAATATCCCACAGTGCCTGGCATATAATTCTGTGTATATTAGTATTCAATATTTACTAGTATCTCTTACATGTGTGAATAAAAATGTAATATATTCCAAAATTTGCCTTCATTGTCTACTATGAATTTTTTCACCTCTTTAACCCCCTTCTCCCACTGTTGACATCTTCTTTGTGTCCATTTATTCATAGACTTATGCTGCTTCTACCTTCTTGGGGGATTTTAAAGAGGAAAAATCAAGGCAGTGAGCTGAACTGCTCTGTATTATTGTTTTGTTTTAATTAAACCTTTCATGGACAATGAGTTGATAATGCTTTCAGCATGTCATTTATTCACTCTTTGAAAAGTATACATCATATTGTTTTAAATTGACTACGTTTGCCCAGCCCTCTTCCTGAACTACCCTAACACCACCCAGGTCTCCTAAGCATTTGAAGGGCTTGGAGCAATAGGGCAAATGGAGAGCCTTGCACTATATGTGAAATATTTAAACATTATTAACCAAGAAACCAAAATTTTAAATAAGATATTTTATCTTTCTATCTTGACAAATATAATGTCATATGATTTGCATGGCTAGGCTTGAATTAAAACTCATAGACTCTGAAAATTTGTACTTGAACCTAGCAAGAACATGCTCCAGTGTCTGGCTGCTTCTCATCCCACACTGTCTTTATCTCTCATGGTACCACAAACCAGTGGTACTGTGAGTGGACACCATGCTACCACACCTCTTAGGTTTATACACTAAAGGCCCAGTTTTCTTTTAAGGTGATGGCTCATGGGAAAAGGTCCAAGAATACAACCCCATAAATAAACTTAGATTCATTTGAGCAGGGAATTTTGGTGTCCTTAGTACTAGGAGTATAGACCAAAACAAAGGTGTATCTGGGCTTTGTTGCCTTCATCCTCCCACAGGGGGTAAACTTAGGGTAATCCCTAAAACCCTGACTTTGAGGAACTCATTGCTTACTGTGGAGACTTGATCTAAAGAAATCATTACAGGTGTATGCTCAATATTCAGAGAGGGTGTGTTGTGGGAAGATGTGCCTATAGGGATCAAGAAAGTCTTTGACTTAGTGAGACATTTGATTAGTGAGAGAAAGAGAGTGAGAGAGAGAGAGAGAGAGAGAGAGAGGGAAGTTTATTGTAGTTTAGCTTTTTAGGAAGCAAAGGAGAAAGGGCAGAGCACCTTAGTAAGAAGGAGTAGCTTGTTTATATGTGCAGAGGTCTGAACGAGTAGAGCAAGTCAAGAAAACCCAGTGTAGGTTACCTGGCCTGGTTGTGGGACATAGAGCAGACACGGGCTTCCACACATAATACTGGATGATCCCAACTTATCAGACAAAAGCAAGAAAAAAATCTTGCACAATTTCTAACATTAGGAGTATGGAAATTTTCTCCTGACAATGTACTTACTCTCCCTTCTCACCAAAGCTTCCTGCTGCGCCCACCAGCATCTGGACCGCACTCTGAGACAGACTCTCATTCCTGTATTGTCTCTGGTAGCTTGCCTGAAAGTCGAGTCACATGATGATACAGCGTGAATAACAATGGCAACTTATTTATTCACTTTAATGGAAAAATAATCTGTGAGAAAGAAGTAAAAATCCCCAAAGAATCTATCTACACTAATAAAAGAGAAACATGGTAATTGGTGTACGACCACTACCCTTCCCATTGGCTAATCGGCGAGATATTCAAATTAATTGGCAGCCAAGATGGCTGCTGGCAGCCAGGCAGCTGATGCGAACAGGGAGGCTTGCTTGCTTTAGTGATGGAGGACTCCAACGTTCCCAGC